GCCACGGGAGAAGGTGGTGATGCGGGAGGAGGGAGAAGGCCTGTGCTGCGCAAGAAGGCTGTCGCTGTGGCCCAGTCTGCAGAGGTGGCATGGGAGAGGCAGTGGGAGAGGGGGCTGCACGGTCCCTGTCCCAGTGCCGCCCCTTCTGCAGAGGCAGCCACAGAGGCAGTGGAGCGAGCCCGGTCCCGGCGCCACACCTCCACAGAGGCTGGATGGGGTGCACCCTGCTGTGCCTCAACCTCCCACAGCCCCTCCCACAGCCGGCCTGGCCCCAGATTGCCCCCCACCCACCAATGGGCGGGGGACGGGGCCAGCACTAAGAAGCAAGGGCTGAGGGCTGGCAGCTGCGGCGGCTGGCAGCTGCGGCGGCTGGCAGTGGCAGCAGCAGCACGGTGATGGGGTGGTGCCTTCCCCTGATCGGCCTGGTCGCCTCCCACGGAGGAGGATGTCCCCCGAGGGCTCCTGGACTGTGAGAGGGGGCAGGCCGGGCTGGGGGACACCCCCCAGTGCATGAATTTTCGTGCACTGGGCCTCTAGTCATTAGAATAAATTCTGTGACTTGAAATTTAAATAGTTTCAAAATTGTCAGACATACTCTGAGGACTCTTATGGTGATAAAAACTTAAGTTAAACTAAAATAATGATTCAAAAATGTTTAAATATCTGTTTTTCTTAAAATGAACATTAGCATATAACCAGTATAGAAATAATAAAAGGTCCGTTTTTAGGTGCAAATGTATAACTAGATTACATCTTTATACATATTTTCATATTTTTCTTAAAAGAGTAGAAAATATTTTTCCTATAAAACCTGTAAAGTATACCATCATGTTTATTATAACAATATCAAAATCTCATAAAATATAAATTTAAACATTCTAAAGTTTACCATAATTTTATTGTAACCTAATATCAAAGTTACATGAAATATAAAATTAAGCAGAAAATTGAGTTTTGTTTCTTCGATGGTATTCAAGAATCTCAAAAACCTTGAAGTTTGCTGAAAATAGAAAATATTCATAAAATGAAACATTTTAGAAATCTAGTTATTGTACATGTCTTAATATTTAGGTTTTGTTAATTAAATTAAAAAACATTCATATTGTTCCAAATTGAAAAGGTGCTGGAAAAATATGTCAGTCTCTCACACTATTTCTGCTCCCAGAAGCAATTGTATATCCTTGTAAAATATATCCTTATAAATATCATCTAATCATATATATGCATGGGGGGGGGGGTATGTGCTATAAAAACACATAAGTGGTAGAATACTATGAACACTATACTTTTTTCAATTAGTAAATATATTTATAATTTTTGAAACTAATCCCTTGAATGCTTTAAAATCTAAGTTAGGAAACTTCTAAATAAGCATACACATTTAAATGGATATGTATTTAAATGTTTGTTTTGCTAGTCTAAAAACTACATAAAAAACGGTTGTATCTTTTTTTATGCATATGCCCAAGTATAATCTGTAGGACAAATTCCTAGAAATGGAATTGCTGGTATATGCAGGTTAAGTCTTAAGAAATCTTGTCAGATTGCCCTCCATAAAAGTTTTTACCATTTTTTATTCTGATCAAGTGTGAGAGTATTTCTCTACGACATCACCAATACTGTATTTTAAAGTAAAACAACTATATTTGACAGTACTCATTGAAACAGTTAAGCTTATCTACTTTCACTACATTTTGATGCTAACTCTACAATATGATTTCACAAATATTCTAACAAAAGATTTATTCTGAGGAGAAGCTAAATAGCAGGAAGACCAAATTATTCCACTATATCTTGAAAATTTTTCATTCTCTCAAAAATAAACATGCATCTATTTGTTTGATCCAGCACTGAAAAGATTCCTCAAATTATTTATACTAATTATAGTTTAGATATTATGCCAAGGTTTTCAGCATCTGAGTCCACAGAAGATAAAGGAACCAACTATTTTATCTCAACAAAATGCAAGTCAAGTACTACTGTGCTAGAAATTTTAAAGAGGGATAGGCACATAAGTGACTTATACTACTACACTGTTAAGAACTACCACAGAAATCTGTACGAAGAGCTTAGAACACAAAACAATTCTATATGGCAATCAGGGAACATTACAAGAAACATAACTGAAGTTTCTTGTGCTATCATAATAAATCAGTTAATCTCCCATTGTGGGTAATTTGCTTACATCCCAACTCATTAAAACACAGTAAATGGTTTGTAGACAGATATAATCTATAATAATAAAAGTGTAATATGCTAATTTGACCGGATAACCTTTCAGACGAAGCCTTAGCTGCAAGAGCCAAGCCCTTGCACAAATTTTGTGCATCGGGCCTCTAGTAAAAAGATAAAAGTAAGAAAATGAGGAAACTCAGGTAAGGTGAAAATACAGGTCAGAAAAGATGAAGCCAGGGCTACACCCAACTTTTGCTTGGGACAGACAGATTCTCTTGTTCTGAGACCTGTTTAAAGTTCCCAGGACTAGTTCTCATAGGAGGATAAGTTTTATACCAAATCTCAGTTCAGTAAAAGTCAATAGGAAGGTGGACAAAATATGCACCAGGTAGACAACCCTCAGAGGTGACTTAATCCTGAGGTCACAAAATCACATGCCCTCGGGGGCATCCAGGTGTTGACAACAGAAAGTGGTGAGACTTCAGAAGATTGGTTCCCTTACCTAAAAGCAACCATATCAATTCTTTAAAAAAAAATTTTTTTTAAATCCTCACTCAATATTTTTCTATTGGTTTTCAGAGAGAGTGGAAGAGAGAGGAGAGGAAAGACAGAAATATTGATGTAAGAGAAATATATCGATTAGTTGCCTCCTGCATGTGCTCCAACCAGGGCTCAAGCCAAGGTGGAGTCTGAAACTGAGGTATGTGCCCTTGACCAGAATCGAACACAGAACCCTTTGGTCCGCAGGCCAACACTCTATCCACTGAACCAAACCAGCTAGGATTCAATGTGGGCTCGGTAAAGTCTAACACATGTGAGGCTTATGGATTAAAAACCTTTATTCAAGTATCTGGTTATATTCCAAAAACTAAGCAATCCTTGGAATATATTAAGAATCCTATATAATAAAAGTGTGGTATGCAAATTGTCCCCTCGACTGGAGTTCTTCTGGGAGTTGGACCAGGGGGCGGGCTGACCAGGGGAAGGCAGGGAGGTCCGGCACTGGCAGGTGGCCGGGGGAAGGGAGGGAGGCCCCGGCCAGCAGCCTCTAGGGACCCTACCAGTGCATGAATTTCGTGTACTGGGCCTCTAGTCATATATATGTCAAATGAATGAATCCAAGAATAAAACATAATATCTCATAAACTGAATGGACTTCAATCATCCATAAGTATTGAGCAGAAAGAACAATGCACAATTTTTTTTTAAGAAATATATACAAGAAACTGTTAATCATGGGTTCAGGGTTAGAAAGCAGAGGTATTACAGAGCTATTTTTTTTTTCAGTTTTATACTTTTAAGCATTGTTTGAATTTGTATCATGAGATTGTATTGATTTTAATTTGAATATATTTGTTAATTGCAAAAATTACAATTGAACTGTGTGTTCAAAATTATATTCTCTAACAAGAAACTAGAGGACAGTTATTTGGTTATTTGTTCCTTTATATTTTTTAATCCTCACCTGAGAATATGTTTCTCATTGATCTTAGAATGAAAGGGAGAAAGAAAGGAGAGAGAGAGAGAGAGAGAGAGAGAGAGAGAGAGAGAACAAACAAACAAAAAAAACATCGATTGGCTACCTCCCTGTACACACCCCAACCAGTGGGTGATCAAACCTGCAACCTAGGTATGTGCCCTGATCAGCAGTCAAACCTCCAGCCAGGGCTGGTTATTTGCTCTTAACAGGAAGTGGAGTTTTTTCAAAATATGTTTGATTAACTGACATTACATGTTAGGATGCCTGACAAGGGACATAGCATCAAAATGCATATTTATAGGCCCTATACAGAGCAAGCCATTTGCTAAATGTGGGATGGGATCCCAGAACTTAACTTTTTTTTTCTTTTAAATGTTTTTATTGATTTCAGAGAGGAAGGGAGGAGAGAACGATGAAAACATCAATGAGAGAGAATCATTGATTGACTGCCTCCTACATGCCACCTACTGGGGACTGAGCCTGCAACCCAGGCATGTGCCCTTGACCAGAATCGAACCCGAGACTCTTCAGTCCACAGGCCAACGCTCTATCCACTGAGCCAAACCAGCTAGGGCAATATATTTTTAACAAGGATCCTCAAGGACTCTGATGCAGGTGATCTATAGATCACCTTTGGAAAACCACTACCCACCAGGTGATTATTCTCTTTTTTACCTCAAGACCATCCCCCAGCCCTAGCCAGTTTGGCTCAGTGGATAGAGCCTGCGGAACGGGGGCGGTGCGGTGGGGATGGGCGGTGGTCCTGGATTCGATTCTGGTCAAGGGCATATGCCTGGGTTTTGGGTTCGATCCCCAGTGGGGGGCATGCAAAAGGCGGCCAATCAATGATTCTTTCTCATCATTGATGTTTCAATCTCTTTCCCTCTCTCTGAAATCAATAAAAATATATTAAAAAAAAGACCTTCCCCCAACTCCAACCCCTGCCCATCACCACACTTGCACCCAGCTCCTTCCAAATTCTTTGCTGCCAATTTAAGACAGATTACCTAGGTTTTGAGACTCAACCATGTGGAGGGCAGGACTGTGCTCTCAGAATAATATGAACATTATTAGAAGTCAGACTGTGAGAAAACTAGCCCACCTCCATAGCTGGTCCAAGATTTCCCTGAGAAAACAATGCTTGATCTATATCATCACAAACATGCCATCAAATACATAATATTCTATGTCACACAGCCTGACCACAATAACTTCAGCCTAGAACATTTCCAATAGGTCACTGCAGACATTTTTAAAAACCTCAACACACCTACAGAATGTTTGGTCTTTAGCAATATAGCACTAAGAAACAGCTTGTTCTGCCAGTTTCTGTGGGCACACTTACCTATCTTCTACTGTCTTGTTGGAAGGATAAAAAACTTTGAATGAAAATCCACTTCTTGGAAAAGAGCCCTTTGGGGGGAAAAAATGTCTGTAAATGAATACTCAACTTTTATAGAAAAATTCCTGTTTTAAAAATGAAATTCCTTGGTCATCATGACTTTAAAAGTTATAAGATGTGACTATAAAGTGATGTGACAGATTTTTGCTTGATCTTTACACAGAGAGAAGATATTACTATAAAATATCTACACTTAAACATCTTTCAAGTTGGCTAGACCATCTTATGCTAACAGGTGTGACTGGAAATATAAGGAGGAGTGGCTCTACTTAGTATAAGGACTAAACAGTACTGTGTGATGTTAAAGATGCATATAAGACACCCAGAATCTTTAAGAAATTTTTCCTATCCCTCTCCCCAGTGAAAATCTGGGTTTCATGGCCCTTCGACATGCCCTCAAAGCAACTGAACACACATACAGATGCCTGTCCACTACTAAACTAGGGTAGAGACTCTGTCCTTTCAGTCGTTGTGTCCCTGGCCCATTGCCATGCCAATTGCAGGCATTCATTAATGTACATAAGTATGAAGAAGGGATGAAGCAATGTCAAAGGCAAGTTTTGGACCCAAAAGGTATAAATAAGGTAAAAAAGATGTAATTATGGTAGAAAGTGTTTTTTTCACCTACAGGATGAAAAGGTGGAAAAATTCAGAAATAAGGCATTTTCAAATAAAGCATTAATTATGAGAATATCCAAACTATTTGATTTAAATAAGGATATAGCCTCTGTTAAAGAATATTAAATTGTGAATAATCTACAAAAATCAGGCCACAAATTTCAAACAATAACATAAAATCAGTTGATTATGCTCATCCTTAGAGTAGTTCTCAACCATGGACAATTTTGCCCCCCAGGGCACATTTGTCAAATATCCTCAGACATTTTTGATTGTTATAAATTGGGGGCTGCTACTTGCATCCAGTGGATTGAATCAGGGATCCTGCTAAATACCCTACAGGGCACAGGACAGAGCTCCACAACAAAGACTTGGTTCAAAATGTCAACAGTTCTGTGATGCGACACCCTGGGAGGCGGGCACAGTAAGTGTGTGTTTGAGGAAGCAGTAACCAATAGGAAGGCGCGATGTTTCTAGTAATGACCTAAATGAAACAAAAAGTATTAAGGCAGCGATTCTCAACCTGTGGGTCGCAACCCCTTTGGGGGTCAAACGACCCTTTCACAGAGGTCGCCTAAGACCATCGGAAAACACATATATAATTACATATTGTTTTTGTGATTAATCACTATGCTTTAATTATGTTCAATTTGTAACAATGAAATTGGGGGTCACCACAACATGAGGAACTGTAGTAAAGGGTCACGGCATTAGGAAGGTTGAAAACCACTGTATTAAGGTATAAAATTCACCAGAATTAAGGAAGCATACAGAGCATAAAGCCTCTAGTGGAGACATTTTGACATCAACCACAATGTTTATGCAGTCTGTATTCCCTAAATTTAAAGTCAATCATACTTCTGCCGAAATTCTGAAGCAACTTCAAGATTCTGAAGCAATTTCAAGGTTCTGCATAAAAAACGAAGTAATAAAATGTGTCTCAATAAGAATTTCCACATTTATCAGGTTTAGATTTTGGGGACTTGGGCAACTTCTAAAAATCAAAATCCTCCGCAAAGGGTAAGTACCATTTATATGTTTAAAGAGAATGGATACAGGCTTTGAAAGCAATTCCCTGAAAGGAATCCCAAGGTAAGTTACTCTGAAGAGAAAATATTCATTTGGATTTATAAGCTTTGGTATATATATATATACAAAATCACATTACTTTATAGTCACATGCAATACTGAAGGTTCAAGAACTTTCAGTATATACCAAACTAATTCAGTGTTTCATTAATAGTATATTTTTACTCTAACAGTAATATTTTTAAATACACATTTTAAATTTAAAGAAATAACACTCTCATCTTGACAAACTATGACTATATAATGTTAACTACATTCTTACTGGGTTTATGCAGAGGCATTCAGTATTGGTCAAAGTGAAAGGATCATATTTGTCTGCGATGACAAGTAGATCAGGCAAAGGGTACACTCTCAAAGCATAGTCATATGCCCAGTACACTGGGCAGACATAGAGGGGTAGAGGAGTCAGGTGTCCTTGGGATAAAATAGTCTTCACAAACTAAAAAGAATGATACAAAACAAACTTTAGTTCATTTGTAAAAGTTAAAACAACCAACAATTTCAAATTAGTTACCAAAAAGAATTAGAAAATTTGAGAAACAATTAGAACTCTGAATTACAGAGCTGTGGGAAACACAGAGATGAAATGAGATTGACTCTCCTGTAGTTTAGGAAAAATTTTTGAGTTTTCATTTAATATAATTTACTGTAAAATCCAATTCCCCAATAGTCAAATTGGAGCAACTGTACTTACTAGTATACTTTATAATAAACTCATTTAGTAATTCTGTTCAACTAAAAATAATTCATAGCTTGAGCAATGCCAAGAATAGATATTTAGCCTATATAAGCTTTAACTATTATAAAATAAATATAGAAAATGCTCTGTATGATCTATTTTCATAACTTCTGAAAAGGGGGTACATGTATCATGGAACCTTGAAGCTACAAGATAAGCCCTACACATCCTTCTGTGATATCACAGGAAATATTTAGTAAACATGAACATTTTATTAAAACACATATACATATATTTTGAAGTACAATGTAAGATTTGAGTTTTAGGACAAAACAAGGAAGCTTCAATGAAATTTCCTGCTTCTTCTGGGTTTTCCTCCACCCATTAGGAGATATTTCAGTGAGAAAGTTGAAAAACACTGATTGCTAACAAATATTAACTTACTGACAAAAGTATGTTCAGATTATAACCATAATTTATATAAACATTAGAGGGTAAATTATCAAGTGGCTTAACAAAATTTTATGTGATGCAACATGTAATAGTTTTATAAAGAAGACTGTGAACTTACATGATTAGGAATATCCAAATTGCTACTAGGAAAATGGACACAGTTTCTGCACATTTTATTCACTAAGTCTTCACGAAAGACAATAATTTCTTGTGTACAATACTGAATTCTGAAATAAAAATAGTAGTTGAATTTGACTTCATCAGAAAAAAATATGAGGTAATTTAAAAGGCAAATGGGTGTTTTTTTTGGTTTTTTTAAAATTATATTTTATTGGTTTTTTACAGAGAGGAAGGGAGAGGGATAGAGAGTAAGAAACATTGATGAGAGAGAAACATCAATCAGCTGCCTCCTGCACACCTCCTACTGGGGATGTGCCTGCAAACAAGGTACATGCCCTTGACTGGAATTGAACCTGGGACCTTTCAGTCCGCAGGCCGACGCTCTATCCACTGAGCCAAACCAGTTTGGGCAGGCAAATGGTTTTATAATACAAAATCATTCCCACTTTCCATTGTTTACCACAGCAAAAATTCAATCAGAATTTATCTATTTGTCCATTCATTAGACAGTAATTTATTGAGCTCTTAATATGTGTACTGAACTATTCTAGGAATGAGTGAACAAAACAAAAGGATCCCAGTCCTCATGGAGTTTACATTCTAATGAGAAGAGGGTGATCAGAGAAAAAAACAATAAACATGATAATTATACAGTATGTTGGAAGATGATTACATGCATGGGAAAAAGAAAAAAGTCAAGTGGAACATTTGTGGGGAGAGAGGTCTAGAAGGCTGGAGTATGAAAGAAGAGGATCAGAACAGGTAGGCTCATAATGCAGTTTGATTTGAGCACAGACTTGAAGTGAGAGAGGCAGATAGAGGAAGAACATGGCAGGTAGACAGAACAGGTATAGCAGATGCTTTAAGATGTAGCATGCTTGGCACATCTGATGAACAGAAAAAAAAAAAAAAAGCTGCAATGACCAGAATAAATGAGGAGGAAAAGTAGGAGAGGAAATCAGAGGCATATCATACAGGGCCTGACTACCATCGCAAGGATATTGGCTGTTACTGTATGACATGAGGTGTCCCATCTTTTAGGATCAGTAAGAGGTCTTACATTTTAAAGGATCCTCTGACATAGTGTTAAGAATAGACTACAGAAGGGTAGGGGTAGAAGCTAGAGACCAACCAGAAGGCTATTACAGTAACCCAGGCTAGCAGATGACAGAGGGTCACAAGCATGAAGCTGTAGAGAGGCAGCCAATACTGGGTATATTTTGAAGCCTTCCTTAAAAAGGTTGAAGGACCACCTGTAAAACTGCATGTGAGAGAAACCCAAAGTTTTGGGCCTGAGCAACTGAAAGGATAAAGGTCCCATGAACTCTGATGAGGAAGGCTACAGAACAGGCGGGGGCCTGACAGGGGAGGAAGAAGATCAGAGGTTCAGTCTGGAGTTGTTTATTAGACATCCAAGGGAAAATGATGAGTAGGCAACCGCATATGTGAGGCTGGAGTTTGGGAGGTTTGAGCTGGATATATAAATGTGGGAGTTGTCAAAACATAGGTATTTAAAGCCATGGGGATAGATAAGGTCACAGCAGGAGTGAATGTGGGCAGAAAAGAGGAGAACCAAGGACTGAGGGTATGCACTCAGAAGAGCCAATGATCACAGTAAGTGGCACAAATAGTAAACTTGTAATCTTTTCATTCTTCCATTGTCACTTTTTTAAAAGGATGTGAATGTAATGAGAATATCTATTTTAAAATCTCCATTAGTCCCCAGGCTGAGGTGACTCAGTGGTTGAGTATCGACCTATGAACTAGGAGGTCACAATTTGATTCCCAGTTAGGGCACATGTAGGCTCAAGGCAGCTGATCAATGATTCTCTCTCATCATTGATGTTTCTATCTCTCTTTCCCTCTCCCTTCCTCTCTGAAATCAATAAAAAAATATATTTTTAAAAAAACTCCATTAATCAAACTTCTAAATTCATTATTAGTGAATTATTTAAATATAGTTAAAATATTTTCAAAGTTGTGAGAAACATAAAGTGAAATTTTATATTTATCTCATAATAGTCACACTTCAGAGACACATTATAAGAATTTTTAAATGAAAGGGAAAAAAAACCCCACAAAATTTTAATATTTACCTGCAAGGATTAGTAGTAAAAACTGAAAATGGCACTCTTTGCCTGAATTCATTAGTAATGCTTTCAGCAAGTGGTGGCCTATAAAAACAATTTATGTGAAAGAGTGTATATTTTTAAACTTTATAAAATTTTCTTTACTGTCACAAAATCTGAATAAAACTTACCTTGGTAAGATGGAACCAAATCCAGGATCCTCTGGACCAGGTACAAACACAAAACGACTACTGTAGCAAAATTCAACATAATTCATTTTAAAAAATTGCAAACCAATCCAATTTTCTAAGAACAGTTATTGCCTTTAATTAAGTAATAAATTTAAGAGATTTAAAAATTACATGCATTTTAATAAATGAACTACTAAGAGTCTCCAGCCCAACATACCAGTAGACCTTTTGCAATGACATAGCTGCACTGTCCAATAACTGAGTGCGTGACCTGTGGCTAGTGCAACTAAATTTTAGATTTTATTTAACTTTAAATAATTTAATTTAAAGAGACACATGTGGCCAGTGACTATCCTATTTAGAAGAATGAAGCTCTATACTTAGAGCAGGGTGGGAGACCTTTTTTCTACCAAGGGCCATTTGGATATTTATAACATCATTCAAGAACCATACAAAATTATCAGCTTAAAAATTATGTTGCTATGAAAAAAGCTCCTAGATTTATTGAATTTCAAGACCCACCTGCGATTGCCTTGGCAGGGCCAAATGATATGGCTTCCGGGCCAGAAGTTCCTCACCCCTGACATAGAGTAATATCACCAAGAAATTCAAAACATGGTTGAAATTGTCACTCACACTTTTAACACTTTGAACTACAAGTCTCCAGTATAGTGTAACACACATTATCATGATGTGAGGATAATTTATCTCTTAGCTGTACTAATTTCCTCAACTTTTTCTTCTATTCACTTCTTAATAATCACTGATATCAAACATAAGATTCATTTTTTTTAAAATAAAATTGTTTAAATAAAAAATATAGCAGTAGAAATCATTACCTTTGGTGAATATTGGGATATTCGCATATTATGTCTGCCAAAGTTTTTAGGGAATCTAAAATTTTAAAGGGATATTAAATTTAATTTATACATAATGCACATAAGAATCAAATTGTTTCATTAGTTAGAACACTGTATCCTTTGAATAAAATTAAAATATAATTTCTTGTTAGTTTATATAAATATAGAAACATTTATTCAATAGACCCTTAATACCTTTCAAAGCTTGAACTTGGTTTTTTCCATATGGTGCAGATGAAAAATTGCCACACAGAATAAAGCAGGTTGGAGGTGCTGGTGAATAACCTAAAAATATGAGAATAAATATCATTATTTTTCTAATCTAGAAGTCAGGTTTAAAAGCCTTTATCCATGAGTTGTTAATAATAAAAACAATATTTTAATAACTTATTATTTAAAAGTAATAGTAATAGTAGGTCCAGTGAGCACTTATTATATGCCAGGCCCTGCAATGGGTTGATTAATCCTCCTGACATCTCTAGAAGCTGAAGAGAAATTAAGTAATCTGCCCAAGGTATTAGGCTGCAATTTATGTCAGACCCCAAGTCCAAGCTCTTGTTCACTCTTATACTATACTTAGGACTAATTCTTATGTACCATGAATACACACACACACACACACACACACACACACACAGTTATTTTTCAAATGTAAAAATGTGAGCCTTTAAGATGAACCCACTTAAAATATCTCACTGCTGACTCAACGTGTTTTTTTTTAAATAAACTACTTAAAAATGTATTTTTTAAGAATTTAGTTTTAAAACATGACCCCTGATAATAGTTCAAAAAAGAATAATAATAATAAAAAAATGAAACCTACCAGAAAACATGGTGTGAAGTTTTTCCAACACCTCTGCTTGGTCTAACCAAACATCAGATATAAACACAAACATGGCATCTTTATTCTCATCTTCTAGTTGTTTTAGTTTTGCAGAAGTCTTTACAGATGTATTAGAAGGCCCTCCAAAAAAATTAATATTTCCATAGTATGCCCTAGGTAATTATAACACAATTATTATCTTCAATAATCTCTGGAAGATCCTATATAATAAAACGCTAATATGCAAATCGACTGAATGGTGAAAGGACTGGCCACTATGACATGCACTGACCACCAGGGGGCAGAAGCTCAATGCAGGAGCTGCCCCCTGGTGGTCAGTGCACTCCCACAGGGGGAGCACTGCTCAGCCAGAAGCTGGGCTCACAGCTGGTGAGTGCTGTGGTGGTGGCGGGAGCCTCTCCTGCCTCCGCTGCAGGCAGGCGGTAAGGAGTAAGGGGTCCCAGACTGCAAGAGGGCGCAGGCTGGGCTGAGGGACTTCCCCCCAGTGCACTAAATTTCGTGCACCAGGCCTCTGGTATTTTTATAATTTTACAAATTAAACTTCTTTCTATCTAATGAGGTTTTTCCTCCCATCAATGTATATAGTACCATGAAAATGTATTATTTGTAGCAAACAAGTTTACTTAAATGTTCTAAAATGAGAAAGGAAGCAATACAGAAGCAGTAAATAAAATTCATAATAGGCTATATCTGTGCCTTTTAAAACTAAAGCAAATACTAAAATAAATCATAATTTCCCATGTAGTTGAAAGAGAAATGGGTACTCAATTTGAACAATATCTAATCAAAGTGCTCAAAAAGAGTACTAATTATTTGACCAAACAATTTTACTTCTAATTTGTCCTAAGGGGTAAGAATATCTACAAAGGCTAGCCTACATTCCAGAATAGTGAAAATTTGGAGGTATACTAGAACTAGCCCTTAGTACACCGTGAGCACTCAGACATGGTAGCTGTTACTGTTGCCACCAGTTATACTTGGCATTTTCAAAGGAATGACCTTACAGTTATAATCTAGCAGTTATCAGAGGAATGCAGTAAGTTGATACAATTGTATGCTGACTTCAATTTAATATATACCCAAGCATAAGCCAGAGCATCACAGAAAGAAATACCTATTAAACTGATTCTTCAGAAATTAAAGCTCAGACAAAACTTACTAACATCATCTGTCCATGGTTCATGAAATATAAGGTGCAAGTACAGGATCAAGAGGAAGGCCTGACAGTACATATTATCCTAAGTTGTCAAATTTGAAAAGAAAGAAATATTCTAGAAATTCTAGGATAACAAACCTATATGATATACTGTGCAATGGTGGGAAGGCATTAGGTTACTATAAATCCTTTTGGGACAGGACCATTATTTGTGCTTATTTGCACATAAAAAAATACTTAATAAAATAACTGTTACTGAATCCACAGACTACCACCAGAGTTTTATTTGGAAGGTGTTTAAAGAGAAAAGTAATTTATAATCCTAACAGGAATAAAATGATTATTTCATTTTAATGTACTTTATGACAACTCATACTAGTCTTTGGTGTACTAAACACAGAGAACAGTTCAATTTAGGAGAAAATGGCATAATTTAAATGGAATGTTATTTGAGACATTACAATGATAATCTCTTTGCTAAATTGAAACAAATGGTAATTCTCAAGGCCAGCTTCCTTAATTATACCTCTCATTCTCAAGTAGTAATTTTGAAGCTTGTATGAAACTAAAACACCAAGACAGCAATTTTGATTGAAATGTATTTCAAGGAAACCCTACCAGGTTGTAAAAAGCCACAAACTAGCATTAAAAACATTCACTTAAAAGAGAGCTGGCTTGATGAGGGCTTGTGTTCTCCTTAGTGTGACCAGCATTACTTCAAAGGAAGAGGGGCTGAACTGCAAAGGCTGCCCTGCCAGTGACCCCCAGCCAGGAGACATGGCCTCTGCACCTGAATTGATACAGGTATGTAGAACTAAAATCTTAATCCTCACACTCCTTTAAATCTTTATCATTACAATAGATTCTAAAGTTAGAATGCAACTTTAATTCCCCCAGAGGTAGCAAACTCAAATGCTGGCAAGGCTTCAAGGCGGAAACACAGATATCAAAGTAGCCGCCAGCTGAGGCTGACTAGGAACGAGCTAGGGTGCACACATATAACCTGCAGTAGGGCTGTAGCTAGGTGAGAATTCAGGCACCATGTTCTCAGATCTGATGGTTCAAGAGAACTCAGAAATCTAGACTTTTATGAGGAATCTATTTTTAAACACTGGAACTAACTCAAAATGTGCTTTAACATCTCAAAGGGGAAAGAAAGGTCTGTAGACAACGTTCAACCCACAACCCACCAGCTATACTTTTATACCATCAGTCAGCCTCTGCTCAAATAGCTCAAATGATAGGAACTCACTCCTCTCAGAGAAGGCCCTTTTGGAATAACTCTAATATTATGGTGCTTTCACTTATATTAAAGAACTACAGAAGCTGCCTCTTGTAACTTTCACTCAGTAGAATATAAAAACAAGAATTTTATATTATCACTAGAGGCCCGGCGCACAAAATCGTGTGTGAGTACGGTCCCTAGGCCCAGCCTGCGATCAGGGCCATCTTCCCAGGCTGCTGGCAGCTGGCCCTGCCCTCTGCAGCCACCCACCCATTTCACACCCAGTGGTGGGAGCCTGAAGGCCCTGGGGGAAGGACCAAGAGGTCGGCCGCTCACCGGCCCCACCGCCGCTGCCGCCGCCACCGCTGCCACCGGTTGCCCTCTGTGTGTGGGGCGACAGGCAGGGTGGGGGGTCTTAGCCTGGCACTGCCCACATCCCCTGCCACCCACTCCGGGTCCCCATTCGTTATTGGCAATCAGAGCCTGCCGGCCAGGGAAAGGGACCAAGAGGTGGTCAGCACCTCATAGTGACTGGTCGAGCGGTCGTTCTGCCGTTATGGTTGCTGGGCTTTTATTATATAGGATGGCAATTATATTCTCCTAAGTGTTTTTCCTATCTCTTATCTCAGTTGAACTTCTCATCTACCCTACAGACAAGTACGACAGTTCAACTGGCAATCTTTTCCAGTTAAAGACAAGTATGGAAATGCTTTTGCAACTGATCTGGAGTCAATCCACTAGTTTTCAGTTACATATACTACCCAGTCTTCTAACTCTAATTTTCCATTGCTCTTTGAGTTCTGACACAAAGCCTGAGGCCTTGTAATAACCGAGATATGATATATCTAACATTCATTACTGTCAGCATTACAAAATTCCTAGAGTTTAAGTCAAACATGTTTATACCTAGTAGTGCTAGAGGGCTCAGTGGGTGGAAATCCAAAGGCATTGACATGAAACACTTGATCTTCAAACCAACCTGAAAAAACATAAGTCAAAAATCACTTTCATTTGTCCAATTCTTCTTGTTTGAAAGGACAAAACTATAGAACACAAAGCAGTAATACTAGGCTGTCATCTCATCCCTTGTCAACTAACTGCAGAAGTTGCCAGTCCCACTGAGCTAGAAAACAACTTCAGATCCAGAGACAGTCTCAGTTCTATTAAAACAAACAAACAAACAAACAAAAAACCCTCATGAAATAGAAATAGATTCAGAATTGAAACATTTCATTTTACTCACAATGCATGTGTCAATAAAGAGAGATAAGGTACCCTGATTAGGAAATCTTTTATCTTATGACCCTATGTAAAATCTGTTTTTTTCAACTTTATTGATATAACTCACATATCATACAATCCACCTTTAAAAGTATATAAAGTAAAAATTTTAGTATATTCACAAGTTGTATAACCATCACCACTGATTTCAGACTGCTTTTATCAACCCAAAAAGAAACCCGTGCCAATTAGCAGACTGAGAGTCATTTTAAGTTGTCAAAAGTATGCTTTTATAATTGCTATTCTCCCAAATTATACCATGTTAACGTATTTTAAACAATGTAGAAATGGTTTTACTGTAGAATGATGAATACTGACTTACCTTCTGCTAAGACAAAGCATGACTCTGTGTATAAACCACTATGGAACTGGTACACACAGTTGAGGAAAATAATTTTATTTCTATGCTTGAGGTAGTGATAGTCAACACACATTTTGGGCCCGACAGGACTTCTAAATAATAATTAAAGACTTAATATTTGAAACTATGGCTAGATCACACCTTAAAAAATTTTAGGTTGAAATGTAGCTATGTCTGATTCTAGGACGTAGCCTGGTAATATTGACAGTATAAATCATTCTTGGCATGTTATTAACTCCCTCAGTGATTTGTCTGGACACTCCAGATAAGAGGGAAGTAGTTTTTTTTATCTCTATTTAGGATTGTGTTTCTACAGTAAATTCCTGCACCACCACCATATGAAAGTTACACCAGGAAACCAAATAGCTAAATTTGGGAATGATATATAATCAATTTCCCTAACTTGAAGATTTAAAAAAATAAAAGAGAAGGATATAGGTTTAAGAAAATAAAAGTGAAGGATATAGCTTTACTAAGATCCAGTTGTACTGTGCCCGTCGGATCTTCCAGAAAAAATTTTCCCTAAAAACAAAAGACATATGTCCACAATTATGTAAAAATGAATACAATAATAAAATAATTAAAATACTGACAATTTTGACAACAGAATTTAGTAGGGAGTATAGTATACTTAAAAAAATCAACAATTCCTGCCCTAGCTGGTTTGGCTCAGTGGCTAGAGCGTCGGCCTGTGGACTGAAGAGTCCCGGGTTCGATTCTGGTCAAGGGCACATGCCCGGGTTGCGGGCTCGATCCCCAGTAGGGGGCGTGCAGGAGGCAGCTGATCAATGATTCTCTCTCATCATTGATGTTTCTCTCTCTCTTTCCCTCCCCCTTCCTCTCTGAAATCAATAAAAATATATTTTTTAAAAAATCAACAATTCCTAGTCTAGGCTTTGCCATTTACTAATCTGGTGACGTCAGACAAACCACTTAATTGAGACTCAGACTCCTAGATACTTAAAGAATGACCACTGAAGATCAAGAGATGGTAAGAGGACACTTGCTGGCTGCCATTGGACCTCACCAGGTGCCTTCACCTAAGAGAGTCAACAGTGTCTCCAAGAGACCAGGATATGGTCTGCAGCTTTGTTTGTCAGAAATTCAGTACGCTCAGTGCAACCAGAGGTCACTGGGAGACTAACTGCAGACTATCTGGTAGCCTGTAGAAGACACTCCTTCCAGGTGTCTCCCAGGAAACCAAATACAGATGAAAAGGCTACTTGGTGACTGAGGTATGAACCATCAATGAAGACTGTGCTCCTGCCCAGCAGGTGTGCCTCATGAGTGTTGACCCATGAACCAGAAGGTAATGGTTCGATTCCCAGTCAGGGCACATGCCCAGGTTGTGGGCTCGATCCCCAGTGTGGGGTGTGCAGGAGGCAGCCGATCAATGATTCTCTCTCATCATTAATGTTTCTATCTCTCTCTCCCTCTCCTTTCCTCTCTAAAAACAATAAAAAAATATATATTTTTAAAAAGACTATGCTCCTGTACCTCTGTAGAGATGCTATATGTAACTGACATTTCATTAATCTGAAGGGTGCACATAAAAGTATGATGCTTATTAAGTTTAACTTACCTCTTTTAACTGTGTTATCATTCCAAGAACAATTACATCTCCAATTTTGGTTGTATTGCCCAATAGGGTTTCTATTGTTTTAAGCTAAAATAAAACAAAATAAATTCTTAAAGATTGAAAATATATTCTTTTAAGAAACGAATTTTTGCCCTGGCTGTGTAGCTCAGTTGGTTAGAGTATCATCTTGATGTGCCAAGGTTGTGGGTTCAATCCCCAGTTAGGGCACATACAGGAATCAACCAATGAAGGTATTAATAAGTGGAACAACAATTGGAGTTCTTAAAAAACATGAACCTAAAGCAACACAGGAGTATAATGTACATTTAAAATAGTTTTTAAAAATTGAAATACTTAAAGATATATCTAAAGAAAAAGATATAAAATAAATAAATAAAAGTATATCAGACCTGAAACCTAAAAACTGGATTCGGTAAAAATTTCTTAGACACAATACCAAAAATATCCAATAAAAAAATATTGTTAGTTGGACTTCAACAAAATTAAGGACTTAGATTCTTCAAAAAGACAGTTAAGAAAATAAAAATAAATTTTAAAAACTGGGAAAAACATTGCAATTCACATAAAATAAATCAATCACTCAATCAATTGATCAAGCAAATAAGCAACACAGGGATACAAAGCTGCAAGAAAGGATTCCTGAGGACACCATTTTGCAGTCTCTAAAGGGAGACCACCATATAGGTATTATAAGTGTAGTTCAAATAGGGAACTTACCACCAAGGATATAAAATTAAATAGCTTGGAAAGACTGGAAAGAAAAATAAATTATTTAGCTAAGCCTTAAAGTTACTTTGGTGGAGAGGAGAAATATTGCTTCCGGACTGTGGATATCAAAGTTGCCATAGGAGACCATAAATATATATGTGTTATACAAATATAAATATATTTATTCTCATATATATTTATATTTGAGAAATATACATAATATAAATTTCCAAAAACAAACTATATGTTTTTCTCTTAATAAAAGTTAAAAGCAGAAACTATCAAATACTATAAATGTCTTGTCCTACGGTGCTGCCATCAAGCATTAATTTGAGCATGCTCTAGTATTATGGTTTTAGTATCAATGAGACTACTCATCATCATGGTTTCTCATCTAACTTGGCAGAGAATTTGATAAATCTTAAAAGAGATTCATCAGAACCTATTTGGAACCTTGCAGAAATGGTAGAGCCCAGACACAAGCAGCCAAGGAATTATCCCCACTGCAGGGTTCTGTGTGCTGGAGAGAGAAAGAGAGCCACAGACAGGCTGACAGTGATTGTGTTGCTGGAACAAAAGCGAGAGTGCTGGTTGGTAATCACTTTCCAAGGTATAAAAGTGGAAGGAGCACACATGAAGGAAACTCTCCCTTTTACCTCTGCTCCTTGGATCCCAACAGCCCTGTGGCCTGTCTGTGACATCTCATTCATTCTATAAATGTTGTTCTTTAGTGCCATATAAAGTTTTCATTCCAACTGATAGAGTACATTTTAGTTGAACAAGGGTGTGGTGATCACTAGAGGGCTGGGCTGTGCAAGGACCAGTATTTTGGAGTATGAGTGAGGGCAAAGGGTAATGCTGAGAGTTGGACAGAGCCAGTGTAGTGTATAGCAAATGGACTGGGAGGACTAGGGGTCCGTCTTGGTGCCAGAGACTCTCTGGGGGCTACACAATCCCAGGGCCTGCTTCAAAGAAGGAAGTCAATGCTTTTAATAGAGATTTGCAGGACTCATGGACTTTATCAACAGTGGGCATGCACAGGTCAGTTGGCTAGTCAAACAGTTACTAGTGGTTAATTTTCATTAAAAATTCAGTAAATTATAATAAGCAGTAAATATTAAATTTGTATACTTACACCCCCTAAATAACTAGAATAATGTTCTAACCTGGAATTTGCTTCCGCTTTCATCAGGGTGAGAACCTATCACTGGAGGAGTAAATAATTCATGTCTGTGGGTCCTCTATAACAAAGAAAGATTCACATGAATTACTGAAGCAGACATTTAAAACTAAGACTCATTAAAATAGTGCCCTGAAAAAACACTGTCCTTAAATTAATGTTTGTTATCTATTTTCAACAAATTTGAAAACCCACATAACTTAATGTAGAAATCTAGAAATATAATTTTTAAAATAAAAATAAAATTATTTTTTAAAAATTGAAAGGTCTATTGTATACCTGGCAGCAGCACACTCGGCCTAGGGATGTGAAGACAACAAACCAAGTTGTCATCCTCAGAGCATGGGGCTAGTGAGAGAGAAGTAGCGCCAACAGGTCACAACACAAAAAAGGACCCTTGGCAGAGGGGCCATTTAACAAGATCCTAAATGATAAAAAAATAAATAAATAAATAAAGATTTTGCTAGTAAGAATCAAAGGGAGGCTGAGACAAGACACTTCAGGCAAAAGAAGGGGTGTGTCACAAGAACGAGTTATGAGAGTAAAGGAGTATTTAGGAACTATTGCAAAGTTTAGTACAGTTAGAGCCTGAGATGCGCGAGGCAGAATGTCAGACAAGGCAAGAGATTAGTTGGAGCCTCTGTTTGGAAAACCCTTCTTCCCCCAGTGTCGGTCCATGTAGTTTAGGTAGAGTTGGTGCCCCTTCCCCTTTCTATAGACAGGCCACCAAGGCCTAATGAATCAAAGTACTCCATCTCTTTGACCATTGATTGTCTCAGGATTAAGCAAGGGCCTCAAGCTGGGCCAAAAAGAGATTATTGCTAAGGTTACTAGTAGCCATCTCTGTCACCTTATAGGTAGAACTTGTTAGAAAGTAAAATCAAATTTAAAAATTGCGGGGAGATGAATAGAGGTAGATGTCTTATGATATTGTATGAGCACCTGGATCCAGTCATGCTTGATACAGGTGGAGCCCTAGACTTCTCCATAATACAAGCCAATAAATTCCTCTTTCTGTTTTAGTCAATTTGCATTTCTGTAACCTCTAATAAAAGAGTCCTGACAATACAGACTTTGTATGCCAAACCAAGAAGCTTATCTTATAGACAATGGAAAACAAAGATTTTGAAGTAGAATAATGATGAAATCAGGTTTGCTTTTAGGAAGGCAACTGTGATGAAAATGCGAATGGACTAAAATAAAATGTAACGCTTTAATTTCACAGATGAGGAAAAAAATACTCAAAGGGTTAGTGACACACCCAAAAGAATATAGTAGGCTTGAAGACACAATTTAAAAAAAAAAAAAAAAAGAGAAACGGGACGCTACTGGGCTTGAGAGGCTGTTTGCAGAGTGAGCTAAAGATGAATACCAGAGGACTTGGATCTCAGCTAAAGGACAGTATTCCAGTTACTGAGCTATCAGCAAGTGGACCTTTTGAAAGTCATGATCTTCTTCGAAAAGATTTTTCTTGAGTGAAAAATGAACTTTTGCCCAGTCATCCTCTTGAATTATCAGAAAAAAATTTCCAGCTCAACCAAGATAAAATCAATTTTTCCACACTGAGAAACATCCAGGGTCTCTTTGCTCCACTAAAATTGCAAATGGAATTCAAGGCAGTGCAACAGGTTCAGCGTCTTCCATTTCTTCCGAGCTCAAACCTTTCACTGGATATTTTGAGGGGTAATGATGAGACTATTGGATTTGAAGATATTCTTAATGACCCATCACAAAGTGAACTAATGGGAGAACCACACTTGATGGTGGAATATAAGCTTGGTTTACTGTAATGCAGTGAGCTGACCATGGAAATGGAGGGGCTACATCTTGTTTATAGTCGTCTTTTTACTATAATTTTATGTATACAACATTAAAAGTACTGACACATGAAAAAAAAAAGAGAAATGTATTTACTAAGCATCTTCCCTGTGAAAAGCACTGTGCCAGATGGGGCAGAGAAAACAAACAAGGAGCCTGCAGTTTGATGACAGGGATAAGCACCCCAAATGCAAGGTGGGGCCAACTCTAGTAAGTGACGGAGGGGAAACACTGAGTAGCCAATGGTTTAAAACAGAGATTTAAACCATTGCAACAAACTGGAGATCAAGAAGAGCCTCAGGAAAGAAGAGGAATTTGAGAAGAGCCTTCCCAAAGTAGGAGGGTTTCAACCAGAGATAAGAAGGAAGAGTTGTCTAGGGAGTGAACAGTCTAAGCAAAGTCACAGAAAAGAGGAAGAAACAAACAATAATTCCAAACTTCAGTTTTGGCTCTAGCACAGTATGATTAGAGGATAAGTAGAGATTAGTTCAAAAACATGTGACAGATCTCAAGTATCCTATCTCATAAAGAGGTAATATGCAAACTGACCATCACTCCAACACACAAGATGGCCACCACAAAATGGCCGGGAGTGGAGGGCAGTTGGGGCGACCAGGCCGGCAGGGGAGGGCAGTTAGGGGGTCCCAGATTGGAGAGGGTGCAGGCGGGCCTGAGGGACCCCCCCCCCCCCCCGCACAAATTTCCTGCACCGGGCCTCTAGTTAAGTATAATTTGTATTTAATTCAATAGGCAGTAGATTTCCTGGAAAGAATTCTGTTCAAAGTCATGACATGATCAGAGCTCCATCTCAAGAAGATCAACCTGGAACATTATGTAGGTGATGGAAGCAGGAGAGAACAGACATCTTCAGTGCTCATTCTCTTCAATCTTTTCACTGCTTATGCCTGCTGCCATTTCTCTCCTTAAAACTTTGTGCTTCTGCCTTATAACACCATCCTAGCATGGCCCCCAAATTCTATCCTCTTTCCTTTTCTATTGCCTCTCCTCTCAGGATCTCACACCTAAATAGTCCATCTATTACTACAAGCAGATGCACCGTTTATCTCTCTCTACCCAGATGGCTTTCTTTAGTCAGACATAACTTTTACCTGATACCCTACTATAACCTTAACTCAAATGTTTAAAACAGAACCTGTCATCATCTTCTTCAAACATTATCTTGTTCCTATTTGTTAACATATTACCATTATTCTACCATCCTACTCTCTCAGATTCAAACCCTTAACCATCTTTGAGTCTTCACTCTCTTCCTTCTCCTTCACATCCAACCAGTCACCATGAAGTATGGCTTTCACTGCCCCAGTGCTATCCCCTCTGTCTACTCCACTCACCATTTCCTTCATCCTGGCTATCTTTTATGCCAGGACTAATACCACAAGCTCTTGTGAGTCTCCTCTTACCCTCTAACTCACCCTAAAATCTGCTGGTAAAGGAAGCTGAGATTGAGTCTCTCTCTCTGGTATTCCAAGGCTCCTTGTACCAAGAGGACAGAGTCCTAACTCCCGAGTGCCATCCAAGGCACTCCCACAATTTGGCTCCCAAGTACCTTTCCAAAGTTATCCCATAATGCTCCTCTTCATGAGCCTTCCTCCCCACACAAAGTGGCAGAGTCCATTTTTAACTTTTGCTGTGCCTCTGTTCACACTGTTACCACTACTACCTTTCCCCCAATGCCACAAGAGCAAAACAATCAATGTCCATGTCAAGTGCCATAGCTTCCTTGAAGCCTTCCCTGGTTTTTCCATTGAATGCATTTTATTTGAATCTCTTTTATAGCAAGTATAAAATTGTACTTTATATTTTATTTGTGCGAATGTCTTTAACTTCATAGACTACAAGCTGCTTGAAGCTGATATACTAGACTATATCAGGCAAAGGTTGGGCTCCAGAATTAGACTAACTGGATTAAAACCTTGTCTCTACTTCCTAGATGTCATATTTGGGCACGTTTCTAAACTTCTCTAGATCTCAGTTTCCTCATTTGTAAAATGGGAATAATAGCATTTATACATTGATATTATGATGATTAAATAAGGTAAATAATGTCTATAAAGTGATAAACAGTGCCTAGCATATCAAAAACATATAATAGCCCTAGCTGGTTTGGTTCAGCCAATAGAGCATCAGACTGTGGACTGAAAGGTCCAGGGTTTGATTCTAGTAGGGCACATGTCTTGGTTGCAGGCTCGATCCCCAGTAGCGGGGGTGCAGGAGGCAGCCGATCAATGATTCTCTCTCATTGATGTTTCTATCTCTCTCCCCATCTCCTTTCCTCTCTGAAATTAATTAAAAAACAACACATGTAATAAATGTTAGCTACTATTTTTAAAAATATATATTTTATTGATTTGATTTTTTTACAGAGAGGAAGGGAGAGGGATAGAGAGTTAGAAACATCAATCAGCTGCCTCCTGCACACTCCCTACTGGGAATGTGCCCGCAACCAAGGCACATGCCCTTGACCGGAATCAAACCTGGGACCCTTGAGTCCACAGGCTGATGCTCTATCCACTGAGCCAAACCGGTTAGGGCAGTTAGCTACTATTTTTATCATCATCATGATTGCTAAGGTATCTTTTTTATTTCTGTATCCCTTACAAGGTCTCAAACATAGGGAGCCCAATAAATGTAATGAATGACAAACTTTAGACTACAAAATTCCATCCTTTTATTATCCTCAAGTCTTACCTAAGCTGAAACAGTGTCTTTCTCCACCAACTTACCTGGTGTAAAATGGTGTAGCGTTCACGAAACAGCTCTGCTTTATCTCTTGCTGTTCCAAATAAATTTGGTTTAGGGTGATTGGTCATTAATAGACTATAAAAAAAAAAAAAGGAATCCCTACTCAAGACTTCTGAAAATAATGTACATTTGGAAATTGTTTAAAGTCAATGGATGGAATACTTACGGAAGAAATTTTTTTCTTTCTGAATTGTACACAAAGCGTGGAATATCAAATGCTCCTATGATATTGAAAATATGTTCTCTGAAAAACATCCCACAAAAACATAGACCTGATTTACTAAAACATAAGCATTTTAGATGAACATGAAAACTTGCATAATAATCTTACATACATATATACTTTTTACAGGTCATACACACAATATCTTATACTGTCAAAAAATACAGAGTCAAAGGTTAGCTTGTGCATTTTCCTCTCTAAACACAAGAAAGCACTGCCAATATTCTCAAGCAAAGAAAAAAACTTAGTCGGGTTAACTTCTAATTAGGACTGTTACATGTTGAAAAAGAACATTTATGTATAAAATAGTCACATCTGAAAAAATTTTCCCCTATGAACTACTTTTATGAGCTACAATATTATTAAAGGATATGATTAATTTTCAATAATTTTTTATTCAAAATTATGCAAAAGTATTCCAGAAAAAGATGTAAAATAGAAAAGGAACTCCCCCAATTTCTGGCCACATCTTTGAGACATACAATTAGAGAAGGAAAATGAACAAAATAATTTTACTTTCAGGTACTTATATTATGTTAACAACATAAACATGTTTGAAAGAGGTTTAAAAAAAAAAGTCATAGCACTATTGCATAAATATTCCAACAAAAAAAAAATCTTCCCTAAAATGATATCTGTTTATCTCCAAAATTGAAAACGGTAAAAAAATGTTCATGCTACCATGGTGGTAGCACTAAGTATAGAGTAGCAGAGAATCCTGGACTTGAGGAAAACCTAGAATGCAAGCACAGCTCCACTATGTTCTAGTGGATCAATCTTGACAAGTTATTGAACTCATTATGGCATTTCTCCATCTAGAGAAATGAGAGCCTCTCTCGTGCTATACGATGACTTTCTGACAATTGAAGTTACAAAGATTATTTACCATTCAGTCCCCACTGGACCTCTACATTGGCTGACTAGAGCATATAAACAGCTAGACAGAAATAACTGGTAACTTTAATGCCTATTTTATGATTATCATCCTTACACTTCTAAACAATCATTTAAAATTTTAATTGATGGCTTTAAGAGCACGTCACTGTACTCTAGTACTTTAAATAATGAATTTCCAAGGATAAAGTTAAAATTCCACGATTTCTCTATTGTTTTAGCAGCTCTTTGTTCTGATAGGAAACTAAAACGACTGACCAAAATAAGAGTAATGAGTCCTTTCAATGATCTCATTGCCCCGAATAGAAAAAAATTGTTAAAGTTAAAACCCAGATGTTTTTCTCTCAGTTAAACCTTGTGAATTTGCAAAGAAGTATCACATTCAAAAGGAGGAAAGAAAGAGGGCCACTCAGGGAAATAAAACCCATGAAAATGACTGCCATGTAAATTCCTAAGCTCTAGTAGCACGAGATGGGGACAGTCATAAAACTGAGGTTCTACCTCATTTGCCATCCACCATGTGACCCATGTTAAGTCTTTGAACTTCTCTAGGTTCAGTACTTTCCTGAGAGCTAAAGTCAGTTATACTTTTGAATATTCAATTCAATTCATTCATAACCTACAGAATATAACATTGGATAAGAGGTAAAAATGGTCATGATACAAACAACACGATTACCTCAAATCCTAGGAAAAAATAGTAAAGACGAGTTGTTTGATAATGAGGTTTTAATGCAGACTATCACTTTAAAGGAAACACTAGGAAATAACCACTACAGAATTGTTGACCACTAATTAATTTCCCCAAGAAAATAATTTTTAGAAAGCACCTCCAACATTGGGGAAAAGTTCATTTTTTCCACATACATAGTTTCATCTACCGACTGACTGCATTCCTGGACTGCTGCCTCCACTACAGATCGTTCAATCATGTTGGATGACACTGAAAAAAGAATTTCAAAGTCAAGTTTTAAAAATTAGTTCTTCCCACAGATTGCTTTTTTCCTACAAATAATCTGCAGACACTAATGCAGAGGTTCTCATTACACAGTTTTCAGGAGGAAAAAAAGTATTAGGTCAGAACATTAACAAAAGTCACAATTTAAATACCTTAACTGTATCTTACTGTTGTAAATGTTGTTTAGTAATATTGTAAGCTCCTAGGTTTAATAACTTCATATTAGTATAACTTTTTATCACAAGTGCTATATTTTAGTAGCCATGATAACAATAATAACAATAACAGCTACCACTTATTAAGCCCTTAGTAAATGTGTGTTTGGCACTATGCTCAGTACTATATAAGCATTCTCCTATTAGAGAGATATTCTATAAGATTAATGTCCATATGCCCATATCTTACAGATGAGGAAAGTGCAACTTTGAGAGGTTGAACAACCTGACCAACAGCATAACTAGAACAGCAACACAAACTGAAGCCTGATTCTACACTGGGTGTCCTTAACCACTTTGGTATGTTCTCAGGCAAAATACCATGTGCCATCTTAATTTTACAAATACCAATTTTTAAAATATAACCATTTTCTGAATTTTCAAACTGTAAATAATTTTTGAAAGCAAAATTATATTTAAAATTCTGCCTTTACAGTAAAATCTCAAACATTTCTCATAGCAGTATTTTTTCTAATATATCTCCTTGGGCAGTGGAAACAAAAGAAAAAAATAAACAAAAAAAATAAACAAATAGACTACATCAAACTAAAGAGTTTTTGCACAGCAAAGGAAACCATCAACAAAATGAAAAGACAACCCACTGAATGGGAGAACATATTCTCCAACGATACATCTGATAAGGGGTTAATATCCAAAATTTATAAAGAACTTATAAAACTCAACACCAAACACACACACACACACACACACACACAAATATTTCAATTACAATGGGCAAAAGACCTGAATAGACACTTCTCAAAAGAGGACATACAGGTGCTCAAAGTCACTAATCATCAGAGAAATGCAAATTAAAACTACAATGAAATATCACCTCACAACTGTCAGAAATGCAATCTATAATAATAAAGCGTAATATGCTAATTAGACCAGATGTCCTTCCGAACGTCCTTCCAGACGACCTTCTGGACGAAGCCGGGCCTGTGAGGGAAGCCCGGGTCCCAGGTGCCTGCCGGCGGCCGGAGGGAAGCCCAGTCCCAGGTGCCAGAGGGAAGCCAGTGCCGGCAGCTGAGGGAAGGAAAGCCTACTCTTGCACGAATTTCGTGCATCGGGCCTCTAGTCATCAATAAGTCAACAAACAAGTGTTGGCAAGGGTGTGGAGAAAAGTGAACCCTTGAGCACTGTTGGTGGGAATGCAGATTGGTACAGGCACTGTGGAAAGCAGTATGGAATTACCTGAAGGAAAAAAAAAAATGGAACTGCCTTATAACCCAGTGATCCTACTTCTGGGAATTGCAGTGTTATTTACAACTAGGGGCCCGGTGCACGAAGATTTGTGCACTGGGGGTGGGTTCCTCAGGCCGACCTGCACTCTCTGCAATCTGGGAGCCTCAGGGGAGCCCTCTCCAATCCAGGAGTTTCTGTCTGTATTTGCAATCATATGAGCGAATTGTCCGAGACCCCCCCTAACCCAGTTTGGTTTGTTGCTCAAAGAATAATAGAGGCATTTTTTTTTCTTTGTTTCATTGGTGGAGATTTCCTGGAATTTTTAGGATACCTTCCCTTTAATTTTTCCTAGACACTCTGATTTTACTTATGTCTCTCACCTTTGCTTTCCCTCCATCCCCCACCACAGCAGTAACTTGCTCCAGGCTCACTTTGCTCTAGTGTCTAGGAGATCCATCTGCCACCAGAACTATGATTCCCAGCAGTCCTGGTGCTCCCCACACTCTCGGCTTCCGCTTCTGGTCCTGGGGCTGCTACCAGAACTACTATTCCCAGAATTCCTGGTGCTCCCCATGCCCTTGGTTTTCCCTTCCTGCTCTGTCTCCATCCCATGGCCTCCCACTCTGCCAAGTCCTCCAAGCCGCCAGCTCTCCCTCTCTGCTCTCCGTCTGGCGGCTTGGGGAGCCAAGTTCCCCAAGCCGCTCCACTCTCTGCCGGCTCTCCCACTCTGCTCTCCGCCCAGCGGCTTGGTGGAGCAACCGAGGGAGCCACGTTCCCCCAAGCTGCCGGCTCTCCCGCTCTGCTCTCCGCCCAGTGCTTGTGTATGCAAATTAATCCGCCATCTTTGTTGGTTAATTTGCATACTCGCTCCTGATTGGCTGGTGAGTGTAGTGGAGGGACAGTCAATTTACATGATTCTCTTTTATTATATAGGATAGCCAAGATTTGGAAGCAGCCCAAGTGCCCATAAGTAGATGAGTGGATAAAAAAGCTGTGGTACACTTACACAATGGAATACTACTCTGCTGTAAAAAGGAAAAAAAAGTTACCCTTTGCAATAGCATGGATGGACCTGGAGAACATTATGCTAAGTGAAATACACCAGTCAGAGAAAGACAAGTACCATATGATTTCACTCATATGTGAAATTTAATGAACAAAGTGAACTATCAAGCAAAATAGAGACTGACTTATAGATAGAGAGCAAGAGACAGCTCTGGTGGTGGTAGTGGTCAGGTGCTGTAGGGTTAGAGGGATTGAGCAAAAAAGGAAAAAAAAGGAGAACTCATGGACATGGACAACAGTGTAGTGATGGTGGGGTAGGGAAAGAGGGAAGAGGGTTGAAGAGGGGATGGAAAAAACAAAATAAGATTTTTAAAAAAATCTACCTTTAGAAGTGAAAATGAGATATACAGTAATTTCTCCTATAGCATAGAACATGTTTCTTCCTTTTTAATTAAGAAACTGACATCTATCCACCATATGAGAGCAAGCTACATCCTCTTCTCTCCTTCAGTGCTCCAGAAACAGTGAACTTTTTTTTTTTTTTTTAGAAGAGCATTTCTCCTTTGTAGGCCTATACTTGTGGCAAAAAGTTAAGTACTTAACGAAAAGATCCCTGAAGAAAGGCTGAAGCAAGAAGGGAGTTAGCCTGGCTCACTTTTTCCCCTACCCCCAACATTTAGGGGTACTTAAGTAAGACAAAGTTATAGGCCTGCAGCGAGACAAAAGTGACCCTAAAGGATCAGATCAAAATCAGAAGTTAAGTGCAGAAATATGGAGGCGACAGCTCTATGACGGGGAAGAACTGTAAGAGTCTCTGGGGAATGCACTGAGGTTCCAAAGGAACTAGAAGTTACCCCTTGGGAAGAAGTGCTACCAGGGGTATGTCCCATAAGGCTGGGACATCTTCATACTGAATCCTCAACTTCTACTCAAATCTCTAAGTCTGTTAAGGATATAGAAGTATACTAACAATTTAAGAGCTATCAGAATGTTACTTACAGGGTTGCTTTTCAACTGCATCAATGATCTTTTCCAGTGCATCTTCAAGCTCTACTTCACTGATAGACTGAAGAGCTTCTGTGAGGTACTTAATAGCGTCACTGATAAGAGATGGAAAGAAAAGATGAGGCAGGTCATTGGTAATTAAGGCTAAAAGTTTTATGACAAAATAGCAAACGCTCATCAAAATGGCATTGAAATTAAGATCCACTCACTCTCTGCAGGAGTACCCACCTTTCCTGCACTTTCTAAACAAATTATTCCTTCTATCCCCTGTCAACATAACCTTTATTTATTTATTTATTTATTTATTTATTTATTTATTATATAGCAAAGGTGGACATTTATTGAAGAACAAGTACAGACTCCCATGTGGAGAGAGGAAAGAATCTCACAGCACAAACTCCCACGTGAGGAGAGTCCCAACCTAACTGTTCTTAAAGCCCCAAATCACATCCTCCTTTTAAGAACCCTTCCTAGCCCAGCCAGTGCTGCTCAGCAGTTAAGCGTTGACCCAGGAACCAAGAGGTTGCCGGTTTGATTCCTGGTCAGGGCATATGCCTGGGTTGCAGGCTTGATCCCCAGTAGGAGGTGTGCAGCAGGCAGCCGATTGATGATGTTCCTCTCTCATTGATGTTTCTATCTCTCTCTCCTTCTCCCTTCCTCTCTCTCTAAAAATCTATACTAATAAAAGGGTAGTATGTTAATTAGACTGGCAGTCTTCCAGACGACCTTCAGGATATCCTTCCCAACAAAGCCGGGCCCAGGCAAAGCCGCCTGCCTGCGGTCCCGGGTGCCAGCGCCTACAGCTGCAGCCCAGGAGACAGAGAAAAGCCTGCCACCTGGGAGATGGAGAAAAGCCGTCAGCCCCTTGGTCCCAGGCGTCAGCCCCTGTGGCCCTGGAGACAAAGAAAA